AAATAGAATTAAAGTAGCAACACTACTAAAAAAAATCTAGTGGCTTTTTTTTTAGTGTGTGATTGTGAACAGGGGGAACAACCTGGAATCCTCTCTTTGAAAGTTCATATCTTGCTTTATAATCTTTTGTATGTACTCAGAAACAAGAACCATTATGTTCAAAAGTTTTTATTTCCAGGAAATGTATGCTGTAACATACAGTACACTGAAGCAAGTTCAAAAGTCCATTTATTCTTTTAGGCTTCACTGTTTCCCTTTGTGACTTTTTGATATTAAAAGAATATTTACACTCTGGTTCCTTCCAAAGCAGGAGAACTATACAACTGAGGCCCAACCCAGAATACAAGAGGCACTCCGTCATTCAAATATGCAGTAGAGATCACTATTACCATACAAGGCTGCTTACATTCTTACTTGTAATCTTTTATTACCTCCTAAGTTTTTTAGAATGATGCAAACATCTTGAACTTCACAGAATGATTACAAAGCTTTGTAAATACAAATTTCAGATTCTGCTTTGCTATTGGCTTCGGCTATTTAATGGTTTTGTTAGTCTTTCAACTATGGTAACAATACTTAAGTTACATATTTTTTTTAAAAAATGCCTTTGATTGTTGTTCACAGCCTGTTAACATCTGCACACATTCTTTCCCACAACTGTTTAATAAAGTTGAAAAAAAAACCTTCTTAGATTCCTAGCTTATACTTTTCTTTCATGTCCTTTTCTTTCAATGCTGTTCTTTTACACTATAAATCCAAACATGGGGGCTAATGCTTAATGCAACTGGTATGAAATGCTTCATTTTGGAGATGCATATGGTAGTTTTGAAATGGTAGGGCCAGCATCATCAGCAGGATGGAGGGTGGAGGTGGCATGGGAACTAGGAAATTCAGAGTGATAAAAGCAGTATTTCTTTATAATTTCAAAATAAGCCCTCCCCTCTTTCTATATATTTTCAAACATTGCACATGTTCCCCAAAGGGACAAAATGTGTGCTATATTATTTTCTTCAATCTGATACAAACAGGAAAATCTGATGCCACTAAGCAGAGCTTCCAAATTTGGGCTGCAAAAGTCTTGAGACTATGGGAAAGATGCACAGAAAATCGTAACTCTGCTGCCATCCTATGGTCATCTAGATGTTTAGGGCCCAGATACGGTATTATTGTTATATACACTGATGGCTTGACTGACAGCCACGGATAGAAAGACATTACAGAGAGTGGTGAGCACAGCACAAAACATTGTGGACTGTGCCCTGATACCACTAGATGATATCGCGAGGGCTCACCGCCTTAGGAGAGTGAGGAAAATCCTCAGGGATGACTCACACCCTGGTCAGCCTTCTTTATTTGCCTACCATCTGGAACGAGATATAGAAGCTTAGGCAGCAGCACTAACAGGCTGAAGAACAGTTTTTATCCCTGGGCTGCAGTGGTGGGTTGCAGGCAGTACGCCCTGGTATGGGCATACCGGAGCCTGCCTGGAACACTGGATACTGTTCCTGTACGGGGTTCCGGAGGGCCCATCCGCCTGCCCGAGCTCCTTAACGTTCTTTTAAGTCTTCGGTGCTTCCGCGCACGGCACATACAACACCTGCGTGATGCTCCACTGAGCAGCTGGAGCATCGCGGAGGCGCATGGAGGCGCTATGTGGATGCTGCCAGGCCCGTTCCAACCATACTGGTTGGAAAGGAATCTGGAACCCACCACTGCTGTGCTGTCAGACTCCTGAATGAAAAATAACTCTATAACAACATAATACAATTGACTTGCGGGGCTGGCATGAGATGCAATAAGTTCACATGGTGCAATAGGACTGGGTGTTTGTTAGAAGGATTCACTGGGCTAGGGATTTTCTGTCTTTCACTGTGAGTTGTATTGTGTTGGGGTGTGTGTGCATGAAGGCTCAGCCAGTCTCATTGTACACATGTTGTACTCTTGACAAGAAAGGTTTGAACTGAATTATACAATATACGAAATCACAACTGTCAGTTCTTTAGCTAGCATTGCTCTTTATATGCACTGAGTTCTTCCCAAGAATCTGGGATGTCATGGTAGTGTAGTATGTGTGTGGATCCAAGCACTGTAGCCTTTTGTAATTGACACACAGGAATTTTGTCAATGCGCAGATGTTCTATGTACTATCAATTTGAGACTTATTTATTGCTAGGATAAGGCACACCAATTTCTTATCCCACACTGAACTCTTAAGACAGTTTTCTACATTTCTTCCAAATGTTTAAAAATTAAAGAATAAATTCTTATTCTTAGCTTTTAATTAGACAGGTTTGCATAGGAATCTTCTGAAAACATAAAGCAATGCAACATTTTCTTCTAGTACCCTCCTCTAACTTTTGGATGGCAAAGTTGTCAGCTAAGTTGGTTTGGAATCTGTTTGATTTGCCCGTTGATCTCCCAGTTGCTGCAGAGTTTTCCTCCCAGTTGATGTCAGGGTAGTTAAAGTCTCCCATTATGACTGTGGTATGTTTCCCACATACATGTGTTAATTGATTAGCAAAGAGTTCATCTATTTCTTCTGCTTGGTTGGACAGTCTGTAGTATAGACCTAGAGCAATGTCATTTTTCCCTTTTTTATTGACCCATATAGGTTCTAGGTTGTTTTCATCTTAAGTTTTGTGTATTTCTGTAGATATGTAGTATCTTTTATATATAATGCAACTCCACCGCTCTTTTGTTAGGTCTGTTTCTTTTGAATAGTTGGTATTCTTCCATCAATACCTTCCAATCATGAGTTTCATCCCACCAAGTTTCAGTAATGGCAACTATATCATATCTGCATTCATGTACTAATGCTTCAAATTCACCCTGTTTGTTCTCTAAACTTTGAGTGTTAGTTTATAGGCATTTAAGTTTTTTATGTGTCTTGAGAATGTTTCTTACCTGCCCTACTTTGTAATTGGGATTTCCATCCTTCCCATCCCTCTCTACTACATTATATTTTTCTTTTTCTTTTATTTCTTCTTTCTCTTTACTCTCTACCTCCTTATGAGGTTGGTTATCTAATGGTTTTTGTTTGGAATTAGGTTTTAAAGGTCATGCAGATTGCCCCCCCTCCCAATTTTAGTTTAAAGCCCTTTTGATATTAACTATAACATTAATAATAATAATAATAATAATAATAATAATAATAATAATAATAATAATAATAATCCATGTCCAAGAATTTTCAAGATACATCAACAAATTGCAGCTTCCTGCAATAACACCAGCAGAAATGCAAAAAAACTGTGCTACTCAGAACATCTTATATTTTAAGAAAGTACTTGGTTGATACCTAGGACGCTGGCA